ACAGCACACCTGAAACTAATATAATATTGAATGTCAACTGTAATTGAAAAGTAAAAAACAAAACGAAAAAGGTGTTAAATGGGTCAAGAAGAAAATCTGTTTAATCTCTGCAGTAAAATAAAAGCTGAAATTCAGAGCCACAAAAATAAAAAAGAGGTCAGAATTCTGCTGGCGTGTCCACCTAGCCTTTGTCTCTGTCCCCCTATCATGGAGCAGTCACGACTCCTGGGGAGCAGCCAGCATCCATAGCCAGGAGACCGAAAGCCACCCTCTCAGGACCTGGAGCGGGTAGGGAAGCAGGACCATGAAGCAGCCTGGGTCCTGATGGCATCACTGGACTGCCCTGGGCTCCAGAACTTCCTTCTGTTTCAGAAAAAGAAATCTCTGTTCTGTTTTAAAAATGCTGTTATATGAAAAATGTTGTAATTCAAAAGAAATATTGTTGTTTTTTTTTTTAAAAGAACAAGTCAGTGTCCATTTTATTCTTACCAAAAGTTTGTAATTTTCACATTTCTTTCCAACCTTGAGTCATAAATCTCCTCCTTCTCATCATGTTTGGGGACAAAATGCATCTTAAACCCAGAAGCCCTGTAATGTCAAAGGCCTAAATCGCAGTCTAATTTTATACCAGACTCATGTAGGGCTGCAGTGAGCACTTGAATATAGAAACAGTCACTGATAGTTCTAGATGTATTTTCAGCAGCTGAAAAATGAAACTGTGTTCTTTTAACATGTGTCCAGTGACTTGATATTTTCATTTAAATTCTTTTTATTAGTTTGCTTGAAAGATACTTTCCAAATAATTGACCAGATCAGATGTCTATTGAATCTAATTTGGTTATTGAGGTAATTCAAATACCACATCAACTGCATTTTGATCAAATGTTTAAAGAAATAACCTACCATGCCCATTTGCTATTTTTAAAAAATTTTTTGTTGAAAGTATTACAGATTTCTCCCTCCCCTTCCCCTTTTTTGAAATCAAGTAAGAAACACAATGTTTTTGTTGAAAGTATTACAGATTTCTCCCTCCCCTTCCCCTTTTTTGAAATCAAGGAAGAAATACAAAGCCTCCCGGAAACGAACAGAAATATATACCACTTGCTATCAGCACTGACTCAGTTGAGTGTGCTTTTCTTTGGGGCTGGACACAGTGAAACATCATTTTGGGAGGTTCACTCACTTTGCAGGCAGTTGCTTTGGAGCATATAGGAAGCAGCAAGTGGAGGGAAAAAAGAGAATTTCCATTGGAAAAGACGAACTTGCCCTAGAATTCTGTCACAGAGACCACGTTCATCCCGAGAACCTGAAAGCTGTGGAAGAGGGGTCCCAGCTGGGGCCCCTCTCGCCACCCTTACCATGTCGGTGAACTGATCCGCACAAGCCATCCGAATCTCCTCAGGCGTCACTGGGCTGTTTAGGGTGAAGGTGTTGGTCAACCCCCTCTCTCTTCGGGCAGCAGCCACTGCATCATGTATGGCGAAAAGCACGGAGTTTCCCATGAACATTGCAGCCTCACCCAATCCCTGAGAAGGAGGGCAGGAGGCCGTCAGAAAGGCATGGCTCCTTCAGGACTGCTAGTCTGTGTTGACACGCACATGCACTCGCACACTCTCGCGCACACTCACCTCCTCTGGCTTCCTAACCCTCAGAGTGGGGTGCATCTGAATTGCCAGAACCCAGTTAATGAAATTGCCAGTTAATGAAAATGCTCCAGGACATCAGGATAGCAGGGCAGCTAAAAACACCTGTTCCCTTCCCAGGGCAAGAAGACCAAAGCCTCTGGTGCCTCTGGAGTCCTTCAATTTGGCCTCTAGACCCGCGATCTTCACCCGGTGTGCCGTGGCTGAAAATCGCTGCTCTAGGCAATGTGTGTTTAATTCTAACCCACAGCAAAAGAACCACAATCTTTGTAGCTGAGCTTGAAAGACAGTGAGGTGTTGCCTTTGAAGAGTGGACGTTGAAGCCTTCTTTGTGCGCACTTCCCTGGCGAGTGCTGGATGCTCTTGAATGAACAGTGTGAATGAACATTATATTTTGAACAACCCTCCAATGCTTCTTGTACTGGTTTTCCTTCTTTCTTTCTTTAAAGGAGTCTGGTCCTTGGTCTGTGTCCAGGGCCTTAGTAGAGAGATGGGACAAAGGGCCCAAAGCAGATAAAGACTACCCCAGGCTGTGGCTTTTACTCTGAGGCAAATGTGGAGGAAAATGTGGAGCTGGCAGAAGAAGGGGTTTCCTGTGAGGTGAGGAGAAGGGGGCGAGAGCAGAGAGGTCCTGTGCCCTATTTGAAGCACAACTGGCAGGGAGGGGGCTAGACCCCAAGAGGCAGGGCTGTGTCAGGACAGTCTTTAGAGATAGCCCTGGCCAAAGTCTGGTGCAGAAGTGGAGAGAGGGGCTATTATATCGAAAGTCTCACCTTCCTCCCAACTCTGACCTACTCCTAAGAAACAGAGGTAGTTTCCTGAAAACCTGAGGTTAAAGTTGCCATGAGTCTGGCCAGTTGTGGGCTCAGAATGGCACTTAAGTTGGAGAAGTTGTGCTTTTGTACATGTGTTTGAGAATCTTTGCTGCAAGTCTACATGGGCCAGTTAGACCCCACGGCCATGGAGCGTGTGCGTCAACACATCTTATATCAGTGGCTATTAACACCTCAGAGCAAATTGCCCTCAGTGAGAAACTTGTTTGAAAGCCCTTTCTGACTTGGGGAGAGGGTCGGCAGAGGCAGTGCGAACAAGAAAGAACTGAGTCTGGAGGACATGTGGGAAGGGTGCAGAAAAGAAGGCTCTGGGCTGGGGAAATTAGCCTACAACTTCAGCTTTACCTCCTGGTAGCACTTAGCCCCATGAACCAAGATGTTTGACTTCTTGTTTTATTTAAATATATTTCATGCTCTCTCTCAAGAGGGAAGACTCCACTTGGGGTTCTGAAGGCAGTGAGTACCACTCTGCCATGAATTTGCGCTCCCTTCCCCCATCTCCCTTTGGGACCTGCAATTCCAAGAAGAAAGCAAATTCAGGGGACTGTTTCATTATTTCTTGAAGGAGCAGGTCATTATGGGCTGAACTGTGCTCCCTTCCAATTTATATGTTGAAGTCCTTAACTGTTGGTACTCAGTATGTGACTGTAATTGGAGATAAGGTCTTTAGAGAGGTAATTTAGTTAAAACGAGGTCTTTAGGATGTGCTTATAAGAAAAAGAAATTAGGATGAGAGAGAGAGAGAGAGAGAGAGAGAGAGAGAGAGAGAGACATCCGACATGTGCCATATAGAAAGATGATCATGTGAGGACACAATGAGAATGGCCATCTGCAAGCCAAAGAGAAGTCTCCGAATAAATCAAGCCTTGCTCTCACACTTCTAGCCTCCAGAAACGTGAATAAATATATCTCTTTTGCTTAAGGCACCCAACATCAGGATAGCAGGGCAGCTAAAAACACCTGTTCCCCTTGCCCAGGGCAAGAAGACCAAAGCCCCTGGTGCCCTCTGGAGTCCTTCATTTGGCCTCTAGACCGCGATCTTCACGGCAGTGCTAGCAAACAAATAGAGGTGTTGAGTTCTTACCTTGGATGAGTAGATGGCTATGGGATTTCGGGACCGCACCAAAGTAACATAGAATTCTTCTGGTATTTCTGTGACGGTGGGGATTTTGTAGTCATCAGGACCCCGAGAATAAAGCACACCTTCCGGGGAGTATTTCAGTTCTTCTATGGTATATAATCCCATGCCTTGGATAAACGCTCCTTCAATCTACAGGCAAAAATGTCACAGTTTATAAGTACATGGCGTTGGTTGAAATATATTCCAATGTGATTGCAAATGGAGCTCTGAACCACAGTAAGTCATTCTTGAAAGCATTGCAGTGAACTTACAAAGGGTCTTTCAGCATCTGGTGCTTGCCATCCTGCCTGGCCCCAGCCTTAGCTCTTCTTGCCCAGGTACCTCACATTCCAGGGACTCAACACTTGTCAAGTTCTGGGGGATTCTCCAAGCCCACCAGATTGGTTCCATCCTCCAATTCTTTGTAAGGGCAGTTTCTCTCTTTACTGCTCCCCACCTCAGCCTGTCCACTTGGCAAACTCCTATTTCTCTCTCTCTCTCTCTCTCTCTCTCTCTCTCTCTCTCTCTCTCTCACACACACACACCGTACTCTAGGAAACTGACTAAAGAGAACAGGCTGGGTGATTACGGAATTAAACTATGATAATTATGACTTGTGGATAATTATAACATGGGGTCAAGAATATACTTGTAAATCTCACTGGTTTATAAGCATTATGAAGTCTGGCCTTCTTGTGTTCTGTTCTTAGCATAATGCCTGGTATATACATTCTCAAAAAATGTTTGTTGAACTATATGAAAAAGAGCTAATGTTAAAGGTATGTGAACTAAGCAAATGGAACTGGTGCACAGTATTTATTATACTATCTGGATTTTTTTTGCTTCCTTTTATAAATTATGATGGAGGGTAGATCAAACTTAAACAAGGTGGGTTGAAAGAAATATACTTTATCAAATTAAATATGTTTTATTAAAAGCCGTTTGAGTTCTGCTTATCAACAAACACCTTTAAAGGGGTTATCTGCCTCAAGGTTAAAAAATTGCAGGAGAGTTACACGTTGCATTCCATTGAATTGTAAAATTACAGAATAAAGTAAACAAATGTAAATGCTAAATTTGGATATTTCCAAATGCTTGTCCCTAAAGTTCCAGTCTAACACATTTTTGGTTTTTTCTTCCCTTTCCCAATGGGAAAAGGTAGGGTTTTTCTGATCATAACATTTCCATTTTGGCCTTTGCTTAAGCCATAAAGAGGCAGGAACAAGCTGGTAGGAGCAGATAGGAAGGTGAAGGAGAGGTGGGGCCTGAGGTCAGCTGTGTTTGTCACACTTTGCAGACTTAGGATGAATTTCAGGTGCAGGTTAAATGGGTAGATTATACGTCCCCACCCAGCAAACTTTTGTTGGAGAAGTGGGCCTGGGTGGGCACAGGGACCCACATTTCCAATAAACACTGTAGGTGCTTTGGGTGGCGAGTTGGAGGACTGCACTTTGAGAAACACTAAGGGACCAATTAAATTGTCCCTCAGAAAGCCCATTGGCCAATCTCTGTCAGCCAGCCCCTTAGGACTCAGGAAGACAGGAAGCTGTTGGCAGATGGAACCACAGGTCTGTCTGTTGGGTTTGAAGCCAAGTTGCTCAACCTGCTACTCAGGTCTAGGCGGGGGCCTGGTTGGCAGGTCGGGGCTGCGCTGATGTGGCTGGCCTGTTAGCCCCACTTTGAGTAACAAGGCTACGGAGGGGGATGGGGGAGCAGACAGGGGGAACAAAGCTACACTAGCAGCAGGAAAGGCTTTAACTTAAAGCTGAAAAAGATTTTGGGTGTGTTAATTTACTTACTTGGGAGATATAAATCAGCAACTCCACCAGAGAAAAATTGTTTTTAAGTGTTTCTTTCCCCCTTATATTTCTCTAAATTGTTTGGTCTACTTAAATTCAAATGCATATGAATACAAATGGGGCTTTATTATTATGTATTTATATAATATTCCCTAATTATAAAAGTTAATGTTTGTTGAAGAATGATTAGAAGGCCTGAAGAATTATAAAGCAGGATAAATCACACATATTTCTGCCACATAAAGACAACCACTGCTAACATTTTCTTGAATTTTCTTTCAATGTTTTATCTATTTGTGTGTGTGTAATATATGACATATATTGCAGAGTACTTGTAGCAGGTACAAGCATTTGGAGAACTCTGGGAAATAATGTGCTGAATGGAATTGACCAAAAGTCCCCGCAGGGCGGTCTGGTACCACGCACCTGCCCAATGTCCAGGGCTGGGTTGATGCTGAAAGCCGCGTCCATGAAGATGTCCGTGCGAAGGAGCTGTACCACGAGAACATACAGTATGGAAAATGTTATTTAAAAATAGATCTTCACAACAACTGCCTCCCTGTCCCCGGTTCCTCACTGGCAGGGTCAGGGTGATTAGCATCCACACGCAGAAAATGCATCCAAAGAAACGCTCACTCTGTGAAGGTGGGAGCACCCACCCCTCTCTCTACCTTGTGAGCCCCAGTCAGACAGTCGACTTCCACCTCAGAACAGGCTGCTCCGTTAACAAAATATGGGTAAGGCTCTCCTTCCTCCGTCTCCCAGTCCATATGGGTCTGGTAGCCTCTGCGAAGAGAAACCCGAGGGCAAGAATGGCTCCTTCCCGCCTCGTGGTCTGATCCTGGGTGGCACTGTGGGTCCCGGGGATGAACAGAGCGCCACCCAGGACCGAAGGCCTCTCTGACCTTCTCCTCCACGGGTCCTGCACAGACACGGAAAGAAGGCCCATGGGTGTCTGAGCCCTCCTTTCCATCAGGCAGTGACTGTGCCAGGTCACAGGGTGTGTCCCTCTGGCTGAGAAAGGACGGTGGCTCCAGGGTCCCTGGCCTCCCCTAGGTCTCCTCCCACATCCCCAGACCCATGACTGAAGGCTGACACCGCACATGGCTGCGCGCCTGTGCTCAGCAGGTATCTGTTCATGATGCGCCCACGCCATCCCTGCCCAAGTGTAATCCCAACCAACGTAAAAGCGTCCTGTACCTGAAATATCCCGTGGTGGACAGGCTGATGGATTCTTCGTAGGCTTTTGCAATCTGAGAGAGATGATTGACACGAAGAAACGTAAGTGCGGGGACAGCAGTGAAAATCCTGTGCTGGGCTTGCCTCCTGTTTGCAGCACCCTCTGCGCCTTCACCCCAGCGAGACTCTTGTGGGGTATGATGAGCACAGGCCGGGCTCCCACGGGCGGGGCCTACGGGCAGCTGCTAGCTGTGCCCTGGGACCCTTTAGAGTCGCACAGTGTGAAGTTTATTATTTTTTCACCCTTTTTGGCTTTTTAAATTAGAGAGAGGGAGAGACTAGGCCATATTCATGTACTTATGCAATAGGTGTGTACACAGGTAGGTGTATATGTACGTACACATATATAAACACATGTGTACATAAGTGTCTGCATGTGCATCTATGTATGTATGTGTGTATGTATTTCTACCGTGCTTTTTTCCATGTTATTTGATTTGCTGTCTCAATATATTATTACATCAGATTCCCTGCTGGAGTAAACTGGGTATAGCTGGAAATAATAGTAATGATGAGAATTGCAATAATTAGTATTAAAAACAGAGTAACCTTTTGCTATTAAGACTGCCGTGATCTCCATTGCTCTGGTGGGAAAACCCAGGCCCTGAGGCTGGGAGGGGGAGCCTTTGCCCAGAGGGGCAGTGACAGCGCAGGGCACCGTGCCAGGTGTGTTCTACGGTAGCACTAGGCCATTGTCAGGTGTGTTCTACGGTAGCGCTAGGCCGTTGTCAGGTGTGTTCTACGGTAGAGCGGTGAGTAACGATAGCGCAGGGCACCATGCCAGGTGTGTTCTACGGTAGAGCGGTGAGTAACGAGGCTCATCAGTGAAGCCATGGGATGAACACGGACTCTCTCTCACTCTGAGAAAAGCAGAAGTGAGCGCTAATAAATGCTTTGTTCTTGAGTGGGCAGCGCCAACCAGCCACGCTCTGAGGGCTTTACCTACCTATCCGGATGCATTTGCCTTCTCTGGGCAGGACAATGTGGACCACTCACCCAGTCCTCCCAGCTTCCCTTGGGGTTTTTCCTGATGACTGGCTGGAGACGGGCCATAAGAATTTGGCAAGCATTCTAAAAATAAGTATTTGAAATGTCATGGGAAATGAAAGGCACAGGGAGTAGCAAAATATTCAATATTCAAATCAATTCAAATGCAGATGTCAGTTTGTAAACCTGCTTCTGAGTCCTCTAGGCAGAGTTTCTCAAACTTGAACAATGTATGGAACCCTTTTAAAAGAAACAAATATTCTTGTGGGTCCTGCGGTGTTAAAATTATTTTTTATTATAATGTTGTTTAAATACATGTTAACATAAAGCTAGGTAGAGCTGCCTTAGGGTTATAGCTCTTTTATGTCTACAAAGCAAAAGCCAAAATGCCAAAGTGTGCAGACTAATCTATATACCAATAAAATTTGAAATAACATTATTATAGTTGATGGATAATGTTTTCCTGAAGCTGAATTGCTGCTTGGAGGGTGAAAAGAGTCTCAACCACTACAGCACACGTACTTCGCCGGCTGTGAGTTTGACATGCTTGCTCTAGTTCATAGACTGATGCTCAACCATGAGCCATATGGGCTGGGCTTTGGCTTCCTCTCTTAATTCAAATACAAATCTGCTTACACGTGTGCCTTTAACTTATTCTTCTCAGACTCAGAATAGCCCTCAGGCCCTCTGTTGGTTTCTGTTCCTTCTGTTCTCTCATCCCCTCTCTGGGAAATGGTCTCTGGCTTATGCATCCAGGAGATCCCTGCATTCATTAATCTATCTTTGCCAGTTCATTCAGTCTTCAATCACTGACCTCATTGCAAATGCATGCCTTCCAAAAGAGTAACACATCCAAGGCAAAGTCAAGTCTTACAGTTCCTGCCTGTCCAAACTATCAGATGGCCTTCTTCTTGTGACCTGACCATACACTCTTGTACATAACATTATGCCCAACAGTTGAATGCTCCGCTAACGTAAGTTTTCCCTTTAACAGGCTGAGGTGTAGCAGAGACCGTTTGCCATTCTTTTTTGACATCTGAACTCCTTTTGGTGTGTGGAGAATTTGTTCACCGTATATTTCTTAGTATACCCCAACCTCAACCCAGCGACCTAACATCTTCATCTACCTCCCTCCCCTTGGCTCCCTCTGCTCCAGCCATCCTGACTCTTTGCAGCTCCTCAAGCACAGTAAGTGAGCTCCCTCTGCTCCAAGTCCCTACATGGAGGGCTCCTGTCCCTGCTGCCTTCGGACCAGGCTTAGGGGTCACCAACCAGTGCCCAGCCTGGTTTCCTGGCTGCCCAAGGCCACCCTGACACTTGTACTTTCTCTTTCTATAACTTCCTTTATTTCAATTCATAACACCTGCCATTATGTTTCCTTCTTTTTATTCTTTATTTATTATACCTAAGAATTTGTTATTCATTATCTGACTAATTTTAGGCTAAGGACTCAAAAGGAGGAGACTGGCACGATAGTTGGCAAATAGCCCCTTAATCCAAATGGGGGTGCTCTGCCTCCTAAGCAGAACTTGCCGAGAAAGTGGCCACAATCTGTTCCTCACCCGCCTCAGTGGTATCACAGGGTTGGAGCTGAAGAGGCTGGAAGGTTGGAATGAGGGAGAGTATTGCACTGCAGCAGGTTGGTGTGCTGGGATCTCCATCTTCTCAGGATAGAGTGGCAGAAAGGGCTTTCTTCATCGCAAACCCAGCAGGAGACACTCCATAGCCACTCAGAGAGCTTGATGTGTACCCTCTAGAGTTGGGGGCCTACCGACCTGTCTCTACTGCTGCACACAAGACTATGGGTGAAAGGCAACTCGCAGCAGCCCCGGGAAGTCCTGGGCCATCTCTGTGGGGAGATGCTGTACTCTGACTCCCTTCATGGCCGTCAAAGGGACATGCATCGGGGTGGAACCTATGGTGTGGGTGCTGCCTGAGGTAAATTTTTTCAATTTTATTGCATTTTCTATATTTAACCATTCCTGTTTAAGAATGCATGATGAAGATAAAACCAAACTGGGATCAGTTTTCCCTACTTGCTGCTTTCTTTGCTTTGTGGCATTTAATAGGTAGCTTATCTCTATTTCTGTAGACATAAATGTACTAATGCTTATTGATTTACTTAATCCATTAAGTGTTGCATTTAATAATGTGGAATTATTCAAGATTTTTTCTAGCCATTTCCTACACTTTACTCCCATAGAAATGACTTGGGATTTAAAAAGAATTCTGGGGTTCTGAAATGAACAGATTCACCTTACTCACAATGGGCAGTCTATTTACATTAAGGTTGGAGCCACTGTTGTCTTTGCAGCCAACGGGTCCTCAGCTTTTGCCATATGTTTCCTCTGAAAGTCTAAAGGGATCTTTGACAGAGGACCTAGAGCAGTGATGGCGAACCTATGACACGCGAACTCATTTTTTTGGTTGATTTTTCTTTGTTAAATGGCATTTAAATATATAAAATAAATATCAAAAATATAAGTCTTTGTTTTACTATGGTTGCAAATATCAAAAAATTTCTATATGTGACACGGCACCAGAGTTAAGTTAGGGTTTTTCAAAATGCTGACATGCTGAGCTCAAAAGGTTCGCCATCACTGGCCTAGAGCCTCGAGAAGCCTTAATGTGCCTCCAAAAGTCTTGGTAATCAACACACCAGGGAGCCCATTGAAGAGCTGCAGGCGATCTGAAGGGCGACCAGGTGACAAGGAGTGCTCTGGCCTTCTAAGGAGTGCTCTCCGTATTTGCTGGACACTGCTCTGCCCAAACTGGACAATGGAAGCCAGTATATGGAAAGGCTCACTTCTAGACTTCCTATATTTTTAGACTTCAGATAAAGAACTTAATTTTGTCTCAAATGTGCCTGGCAATATTTACATAGTCCTAGAAGAAGGTTTCTATTGTCAACTGAACTTTACCCATGGACTTTAAAACAATGTTATTCTTATACTAGAGGCCCGGTGCATGAAATTCACACACGGGGAGGGGTCCCTCAGCCCTGCCTGCACCCTCTCCAAGCCAGGATCCCTTGGGGGATGTCTGACTGCTGGTTTAGGCCTGATCCCTGAGGGGAGGATTGGGCCTAAACCTACAGTCGGACATCCCTCTTGCAAGCTGAGACCACTGGCTCCTAACCACTCACCTGCCTACTGACCTGATCCCCCTACTACTCTCCCCTGCCTGCCTGATTGCCCCTAACCACCTCTGCCTCGGCCCCACCACCATGGCTTTGTCCGGAGGGTCATCTGGAAGATGTTAGGTCTAATTAGCATAGTACCCTTTTATTAGTATAGATGTGTTTGTTTGTTTTTTGGTGCATGCAACTATCACTACTATTTCCAATATTTTTTCATCACTCCAAACAGAAACTCTATAACCATGAAGCAATAACTCCCCATTTGCTCCTCCTTCTGACTCTTGGCACCCTCTAATCACCACTTTTTAAAAGAACCCCATCTGTAACGGCTTCGATAAGGGATAAGGTGCCTTAGTAGAAAAAGGCTGGAGGAGGCCTGAGGCTTAAGGTGGGGCTGGAGCAGGTCACAAGTGGCTAAAACCATAGATGAGGCACTGACCTTGTTATCGCTGCAGAAGGGACTCTCTAAGGAGCTCCAGTGGCGTCCACAAGGGAAGGAGTCAGGTATAACAAGGCCAGGTCACACCGAGGCCAGCTTAGAGTGTTCTGCCTCTATCCTCTGTGCCCTCTCTTTCTTGAACTTTACAAGGGTCTGAAATGTAGGCTAGGAAGCTTATGGGGGGCAGGGGTGCAGCGAGGGAAACCAGAGAAGCCAGCCCCTCCTATTTCCTACCTGTAGGCCCAAGCTGTTAAGTAGTAGAGACACTGCAATTTGAAGTACATTTTGGAATTTTGGACTGGACATTTTAATTATTGAATGAGATGGTTTATGCAAATAAAAGTGATTGATGAGTTTTTAATGATCTTAGGTTGATTAGAAAAATTATAGGTAGATTTCCCTCAAGGGGAGGGAAGAAGAGGCTCACAGAGGAAGCTTCAACCACTCGAAGTCTCGCAACCTCTTAGTGGAGCACCTAAAACCACCTGCTTGACCTTTCTAGGCTTCAATTTCAGTTCCCATAAAAGAGGGGGTGGGGCAAGGTTATTTCCAGCATTGTCATTGGGTGACTGAGATATGAAAGAAAAGTCACCTGCACTGCTCTCCCGTTGATGTCTGTCCCCATGGATGCTGCTGTTAAGGAGGCATTGGGCACAGTGACTGTGCTGGTTTCCGACAGGTGGATATAGGAGACAGGGATGTTCAGTTCCCGGCTAGCCACCTGCCAGAAGCAAATGAAAAACACTATTGATATCATTGACTCTAAGCCTCCCTCCCCCCAAATTAAGAGCTTTTAATTTTTTAAAAAATATATATTTTTTATTGATTTCAGAGAGGAAGGAAGAGGGAGAAAGAGATAGAAACATCAGTGATGAGAGAGAAACACTGATTGATTGCCTCCTGCATGCCCTCCACTGGGGACCGAGCCTGCAACCCCCGGCATGTGCCTGTGACCTCCTGGTTCATAGGTCAATGCTCAACCACCAAGTGATGCCAGCCGGGCTAATTTTTTTTTGAACTGAGTATAAAATCTGGCAATCCTTTAGGGACAAATATTTAAGATAGCATCTTGGGTCTGACATGTAGCTTCTGAGTTTGAAGATTTTCAATGACGCTATAAAAGATCCATACCATGTGCTTTCTTTTATACCGATTTCATAGAAGCCATGTGGTATATGGTCATTCTAAGACATCAGTTCAATAGGACTCACACAGGCCAGACTGAGGTCTCTGTCTTATTGTTTTACCTTCATCTTCTCCTCGTGGCTTACGTGCATTTAGCAGATTGTGTTTGTCCCCAGACATTTTGTAGGTATAAGGGTTTTGTTTTAAAGAAGCAAGATATGTTCAAAGAAGGCTCTGTGGATTTTTGTGATTTTCTAATTCCAAGAACACTATTAAGTAATAGTATTTCCTTAAAGAAAATATCTTCTATTTCTCATTAAGAGAAAAGCTTTGGCCGTCGCCGGTTTGGTTCAGTGGATAGAGCGTTGGCCTGAGGACTGAAGGGTCCCTGGTTCAATTCTCAGTCAGGGCTCATGCCTGGGTTGCAGGCTCCATCCCCAGTAGGGGGCAGTCGATCAACGCTTCTCTCTCTCATCATTGATGTTCCTATCTCTCCTTCTCCTTTCTTTTCTGAAATCAATAAAAAGTATATATTTTTTAAAAAGATAAAAGCTTTGCCCCCACCCACTCACATTGTTTTTATATGTTTTTTAAATTGATTTCAGAGAGAGGAAGGGAGAGGAAGAAAGAGATAGAAACATCAATGATGAGAGAGAATCATCAATTGACTGGTCCCCTTCTCCCCCTACTGGGAATCTAGCCCGATACCTGGGCATGTGCCCCAACCAAGAATCTAACTGAGACCTCCTGGTTCATGGGTGGACACTCAACCACTGAGTCACACCGATCGGGCTACTCAAATTCTTTATTCAAATTTCATATTCAACAAAATCTTATATAATATTTTAAAAAGGGAAAATTTCCTATTGAAAATAATCTCTTCCTCTTTCAACAATAGTATTAGGAAGATTGCTTTGAATTAGCACACATAATGGCCCATCATTGGTGTTGCTAAGTAGATTGTGAATAATAAGAACATAGTTTCTCATCTTATTAAACACATTCATTCCTAATGAAGATTTGCATTAACACAATGTAGTTTTGAGCAGTTGCCTTAAAGCCGAAAAATACTTTATCTTTGAAAGTTGGAATCACATTTTCCAGAAGACCTTGATGGGACCTGGTTCTTTAGTATGCAGGAAGAAAAATATTACATATTTTCTCAATTCTAATACCCACTTCCATCAGTCTCCTGCATTCATGTGTTCCTGATACCAAAATGAACGTTATCATTGACCTGTGCATTTAGTGTGATGGTATTTCTCCTGCTCAACAAAAAAGAAGTTGTTAAACTGCCTGTACAGCGTGATAGTCTTCCACAGTGGAAAACATGGATGCTTATCTCACCTGGATCATTTTGGTGTAAAGGCCTTGTCCAATTTCACAGCCACCATGAGCCACCAAGACAGAACCATCGGTGTAGATGTGGACGAGAGCGGTGGCCTGTTGGGGAATAATTATAATACCATTTTGAAAAACCAAATGTTGCCTGAGTTTAGCTGAGGTTACCAGGTGAAGAGTTTGCTTCATTGAGTCAATCTCTCATTGTTTCTACTGGAGAAGAAAGCTATTATTGGTGACTACAGGCAACCCCTTTAACACCCTCCAAACTTAGAAAGCATGTCAAACTTGCAGCCCGCGGGCCACATGTGGCCCACAATGAATATTTTTGTGGCCCAGCCAATATAATGGTATGTAAGAAACATTTTAATAAAAATTTCGTAACTTAATTTTTACAATATCCTGTTATATATAATTATCAATAACGAACTACAACATCCGCTGACTGATTACTATAATCATATTGCATTCATTTCCCTTATGCGTCTTCCATGCAGGCACACCGTTTCTCTCCACTAATACTAGCGGCAATGGCCAAGTCATTAGTCTTGGACTGACTTGTTTGGTGTGCGCAACAGGAAATATTTTGCTTTTGGAGAACAAGAAAAATAGGTTTATTTGTGTTATGCTTATTAATCTGTACAGTTATTCAGTGTCTGGTAAGTTAATATTCAAGAAAAATACTAATTTTTATTAAAATGTTCTATTATTTTATGTTAACAACTACTCATTTATTTCAGCCCTTTGTATTCAGCATGTCTCTATTGAAACAAACCTATGAAAATTGGAGGGTTTGTTTTTTTGTGGCCCACATAAACTTAAACCTTGTTTATTTGGCCAGTGTTAGCCTTTGAGTTTGACATGCTTGCTGTAGAGCAATGAATGGCGGCTCATCTCCATGCCCACCATCTGCGTGCCTCCTGCACACCTCCTACTGGGGATGTGCCCGCAACCAAGGTACATGCCCTTGACCAGAATCAAACCTGGGACCTTTTAGTCCGCAGACCGATGCTCTATCCACTTAGCCAAACCGGTTATGGCAGCTAAACAATTTTAAACAACAAAGACACATATTTAAACAATAAAGATAGATAACATTCCCCATTAAAAACTCTGAATCACCACAGAAACTCAGGAGAGGGTTAGAAGTTTTTTTTTTTAAAGAAAACAAAACAAAACAGAAACAAACATAAAAACATTTTACACCGGCGCGTACCACATTTATACCACAAAATACCACCAAGTCAGTTTCAATTGTGCAGAGACACAGAACAAGTCCCTGAACAGAGGCAGTAGAAAACTGCCTAGGAACGCTTCTCTTCTACCTTTTTTTAAAAGTCAGGCCAGCCTCGAAACCTTTGCCACTCTGAGTTTTGACTTCCCTCCCAGGAGGCCCAGAGACGGTGAATACCATCTAGAAACCATTCCTTCAGATACAGGACAAGTCCCTAATACACAAACATAGACAGAAATCCTCACTAAGTGGGCTGATTCCTCCCGTGACAGAGAGCAAATGTTTCCAAGAAAACCAACTCAACAGTGCTGCCTGAGACCTTCGCAGACCACCACGGGTTCAGCCCTCAGCAAATCAAATGTTTTAACCAGATGAGCAAACAGAAAATCAAAGTAGCTTTTGCTTTCACACAGACCAGTTAATCACAGATAATTATGGCAAGACAAACATTCATACTCACACTCTCTCAATAGACTAGCCCAGACTGGAGTTGAGCAGATAATGCCCAACTCCCCAGATGGGCATGGGGACTCTCTCCCGGCACCCACGCCCCAAACCAGAATTCTCAACTGACATCTTGGTGAGAGCCTACTGGAGGAGTTAAGGCTGCAACCAGTCACCCGCTTCTTGGTAGAAAATTGGCTAGTCCCACACAAGCAAAGAAACAGAAGAGTGAACCCATAATTCCTTGATAGAATCTGAATTCACTCACCTCCAGAGTCCTGATTACTGATTACCTGACAAAGTCATATGACTTCTGGGGAGGTGATCAAGCTCCCGCTTCTACTAACTTGGAGTAGGCCTGACTGACTGGGACCCCTACCTTACAGATTCATCGACAGGTTCAGAGGTGTTCGTCCACTTTCTCCAGATGCCGGCCGGGTCTGGGCTGAGGTCCGGAAGCACCTGGAGATCCCCCAGGTTGAATTCTGCTAAAATCAGCAGCGGGCGCCTTCTGGAGGCCTGTCCCATGCCCCTGGGCCTCAAACCACATCCACTCACTGGAGGCTAAACAAAGCCAAAACGCGGTAGCTTCCCGATTCAGGGAACCATATGTTACAGAAGAGCAAAGAAATACCAAGCACGCTTCCTAGAGAAAGGGAGGAACCCATTTATTAACACTAGTGACTAGTGGGCTCCGGGAAATAATTTCTAAATCAGAGTCTGTTCCCTCCAATTCTTACATGGACTTGAAGTTTGACCCCATACCTCAAGACTCATTTCTCCCAACCTCACCTGACTTTGGTAGGCCTGAGGCATGCCAATGGTATATTTCATGGGGACCACAGCAAGCCCCCTTTTCTTCCAATAATTATTTTTGTTAAATCCCTCAGTATCCTTTTTCCTAGCATAAAATGAAGATTTCTCCAGACACTCGTTCCAGTATCTTCGCAAGGTCTCTGGATTAAATGTCTGCTTATAGGCTGTTTTGCTAATTCCCTTATACATGTTTATTTCTTTAACCTGAAAGACAAGAAAAAAGCATTTCAAGCATACATGCTATTCCATTTGTGAAACATGTGTTTTTGTTATATACCTGACATGAAGAAAGTCTTTCTAAAAAAGAAATAACTATTTAAATGGATATAAATATGTAAGTACAAATGTAAACATGTAAACATAATGATAATAACAATAATCATAATAACAATAGAAACTACTGTTGAACACATCATATCTTCCGAGCTGCAGACTAAGTGTATGAGCTCAACAACTTTATAATAACCCTGAGAAATAGTAGGTGTATTATGAGTCCTATGATAAGTTTCGTTAGTGGTGACACAAATTTATCCTGACTCAAAATTCTTTTACTTCTACACAATGTTTCTTTATTCTTACCTGTTCTCAAATTTGCTCCTCAAAATCTGAACTATAGTAGGATGTTTGCACAAGTGGCTGCGATGATGCCAATCTCCCTAGTCATGCCGTTGGGTGGTTTCACACTGACTGTGGGATTGGCCATATGACCAGTTTCGGACAGAGGGACAACACATATGTAATGCAGGCAGAGACTTGAAAAGTGCTTGCATCATGTTCTTACTTCTCCTGGAAAATCTGTGAACCATGATGAGAGCTAATCTGGGCTAACCTGGAGGAGGAGAGACCCCGTGGAGCAGAGACGAGCCTTCCCAGCTGCGATATGTAGACTAATCAGTCAATGACCACCAGATGAAGAAGTGAATCTATCTTGGACCATAAAACTCCAGTTAAGTTGAGCCAGACCAGAAGAGCTACCTAGCAGCTGACCCACAGAATCAGAAGAAATACTATTTGTTGAGGAGAACCAAGATGGCGGCATAGGTTAACGCCGGAGTTTGCCGCCTCGAACAACCATTTCAAAAGTGAAACTAAAAGACCGAACGGACATCACCCAGACCCACAGGAACGCTGGCTGAGTGGAAGTCCTACAACTAGGAGGAAAGAGTAACGCATACGGACACTCAGAGGAG